ATGTATGTATGTATGTATGTATGTATGTATGTATGTATGTATGTATGTATGTATGTATGTATGTATGTATGTATGTATGTATGTATGTATGTATGTATGTATGTATGTATGTATGTATGTATGTATGTATGTATGTATGTATGTATGTATGTATGTATGTATGTATGTATGTATGTATGTATGTATGTATGTATGTATGTATGTATGTATGTATGTATGTATGTATGTATGTATGTATGTATGTATGTATGTATGTATGTATGTATGTATGTATGTATGTATGTATGTATGTATGTATGTATGTATGTATGTATATGTATGTATGTATGTATGTATGTATGTATGTATGTATGTATGTATGTATGTATGTATGTATGTATGTATGTATGTATGTGTATGTATGTATGTATGTATGTATGTATGTATGTATGTATGTATGTATGTATGTATGTATGTATGTATGTATGTATGTATGTATGTATGTATGTATGTAATGTATGTATGTATGTATGTATGTATGTATGTATGTATGTATGTATGTATGTATGTATGTATGTATGTATGTATGTATGTATGTATGTATGTATGTATGTATGTATGTATGTATGTATGTATGTATGTATGTATGTATGTATGTATGTATGTATGTATGTATGTATGTATGTATGTATGTATGTATGTATGTATGTATGTATGTATGTATGTATGTATGTATGTATGTATGTATGTATGTATGTATGTATGTATGTATGTATGTATGTATGTATGTATGTATGTATGTATGTATGTATGTATGTATGTATGTATGTATGTATGTATGTATGTATGTATGTATGTATGTATGTATGTATGTATGTATGTATGTATGTATGTATGTATGTATGTATGTATGTAATGTAATGTATGTATGTATGTATGTATGTATGTATGTATGTATGTATGTATGTATGTATGTATGTATGTATGTATGTATGTATGTATGTATGTATGTATGTATGTATGTATGTATGTATGTATGTATGTATGTATGTATGTATGTATGTATGTATGTATGTATGTATGTATGTATGTAATGTATGTATGTATGTAATGTAATGTAATGTAATGTAATGTAATGTAATGTAATGTAATGTAATGTAATGTAATGTAATGTAATGTAATGTAATGTAATGTATGTATGTATGTATGTATGTATGTATGTATGTATGTATGTATGTATGTATGTATGTATGTATGTATGTATGTATGTATGTATGTATGTATGTATGTATGTATGTATGTATGTATGTATGTATGTATGTATGTATGTATGTATGTATGTATGTATGTATGTATGTATGTATGTATGTAATGTATGTATGTATGTATGTATGTATGTATGTATGTGTATGTATGTATGTATGTATGTATGTATGTATGTATGTATGTATGTATGTATGTATGTATGTATGTATGTAATGTAATGTGTAATGTAATGTAATGTATGTATGTATGTATGTATGTATGTATGTATGTATGTATGTATGTATGTATGTATGTATGTATGTATGTATGTATGTATGTATGTATGTATGTATGTATGTATGTATGTATGTATGTATGTATGTATGTATGTATGTATGTATGTATGTATGTATGTATGTATGTATGTATGTATGTATGTATATGTATGTAATGTATGTATGTATGTATGTATGTATGTATGTATGTATGTATGTATGTATGTATGTATGTATGTATGTATGTATGTATGTATGTATGTATGTATGTATGTATGTATGTATGTATGTATGTATGTATGTATGTATGTATGTATGTATGTATGTATGTATGTATGTATGTATGTATGTATGTATGTATGTATGTATGTATGTATGTATGTATGTATGTATGTATGTATGTATGTATGTATGTATGTATGTATGTAATGTATGTATGTATGTATGTATGTATGTATGTATGTATGTATGTATGTATGTATGTATGTATGTATGTATGTATGTATGTATGTATGTATGTATGTATGTATGTATGTATGTATGTATGTATGTATGTATGTATGTATGTATGTATGTATGTATGTATGTATGTATGTATGTATGTATGTATGTATGTATGTATGTATGTATGTATGTATGTAATGTAATGTAATGTATGTATGTAATGTAATGTAATGTAATGTATGTAATGTAATGTAATGTAATGTAATGTAATGTAATGTATGTATGTATGTATGTATGTATGTATGTATGTATGTATGTATGTATGTATGTATGTATGTATGTATGTATGTATGTATGTATGTATGTATGTATGTATGTATGTATGTATGTATGTATGTAATGTATGTATGTATGTATGTATGTATGTATGTATGTATGTATGTAATGTATGTATGTATGTATGTATGTATGTATGTATGTATGTATGTATGTATGTATGTATGTATGTATGTATGTATGTATGTATGTATGTATGTATGTATGTATGTATGTATGTATGTATGTATGTATGTATGTATGTATGTATGTATGTATGTATGTATGTATGTAATGTATGTATGTATGTATGTATGTATGTATGTATGTATGTATGTATGTATGTATGTATGTATGTATGTATGTATGTAATGTATGTATGTATGTATGTATGTATGTATGTATGTATGTATGTATGTATGTATGTATGTATGTAATGTATGTATGTATGTATGTATGTATGTATGTATGTATGTATGTATGTATGTGTATGTATGTATGTATGTATGTATGTATGTATGTATGTATGTATGTATGTATGTATGTATGTATGTATGTATGTATGTATGTATGTATGTATGTATGTATGTATGTATGTATGTATGTATGTATGTATGTATGTATGTATGTATGTATGTATGTATGTATGTATGTATGTATGTAATGTATGTATGTATGTATGTATGTATGTATGTATGTATGATGCATGTATGTATGTATGTATGTATGTGTAATGTAAGTAATGTAATGTATGTATGTATGTATGTAATGTATGTAAGTAAGTAAAGTAAAGTGTAAGTAAGTAAGTAAGTAAGTAAGTAAGTAAGTAGTAAGTAAGTAAGTAAGTAAGTAAGTAAGTAAGTAAGTAAGTAAGTAAGTAAGTAAGTAAGTAAGTAAGTAAGTAAGTAAGTAAGTAATGTAATGCATGTAATGTATGTACGTATGTATGTATGTGTGCATGCATGCATGCATGCATGCATGCTTACATACATGTATGCATGTATGTATGTATGTAATGTATGTATGTATGTAATGTCATGTAATGTCATGTAATGTAATGTAATGTAATGTACTGTATGTATGTATGTATGTATGTATGTATCCTTGCACTTCCCCTTTGCTCCCCAGTATTTCCCGCAAAAAAACACGGTTTTTCCAGCGTTTTCGCAAAGAGGACGTCCAAAAACATTGAGTTTTTCCAGATTTTCGGCAAAAGGATGCAGGAAGCCCAAGCCAGCAAAAAAGCCGGCAGGGGGAATCGAGCCTGGGACCCCTGTTTTGCGACACCGGCTCCCCGAAGACTACGTTTAGTGGAACGTCATCAAATTGCCGCGCGGTACGTGGGGGACCCCCCCCCCTCCCCCCCCAAAAACCTACGTAATAGACGTCGGGCGGGGGGGGGTTAGGGGGGGGGTTATCCTCTATCCTCTAGTAAGTATCCGACACGCCGAGCAATGTCGGCGGACATTGCACCGCTTTCAGCAGAACTAGTTCTGCTAGGTCCCCCAGTAGTCCCTTTCACCATCTTTCACCCCTTTTTTGGGGGAGGATTCCCCTACTAAAATAGACTACAGAAAAAAGGTACCCTTATTCCAACCTCTCTACTGGAGGACCTAGTCTGTGTTGTTAGAGATTAGTTGAACCAGATTCACTCCCATATTTGTTAAAACTCGGCATTCTGCGTTTGTGCCAGGAAACTCAGCGGCTTCACCGAGACTTGGAAGAGAAGCTGAGGATGCAGGCTGGGGTGGTTGATGGATAGTGCCGGGTCTACGGCCACTTTGATCGCAGCGATCTTCATTGAGAGCTGCTAAAGAGGGTTTTGTGCGTGGGATATGCGATGGATTGACCTTGGGCTGGGCTGGTTTGTTTGAGAGTTGTGATCGATCGACTACAATCTGGCAGCAAAAAACATGTTGGCCCGCATCTGTCATCTTGCGATCATGCTTTGTGTTTGTGAAGTTGGCGGGCGTGTTTGGATGTTTGTACTGCATACTCGAGTCTCCCAGGAGAAGCACTCGGCAGAGAAAGAGCAAGAGCTGGAGCAGGCATCAAGCCCCGGCACTGCAGCATGCCACTGCGCTTGTGCATGTGGTGAGTGCGATGCTAAATTCGGCTTCTTGACTGACCCCTCATGCACCAAGCAGCCTATGAGCGCCTGGTGGCTGATGCCTCAATGGCGGCCTTGGGTTGCACCACTGATGCCTCATGGAACTCCTCTCTTTGGACCGAGCGCCCAGGAAAGAGCCAAGACATCTTCGAGCTCGCAGGAGGTCTCGCAGCTTTCGGCTCGTGTGGAGGCCAGGAACTTCTGACCGGCCGGTCGAACTGCGAATGACCCCATAGAAATTTTAACCAACCGGTTTATTACTAGGGGAGTGGGGGGGAGACCCCTCCAAAAGTGGTCTGATTCCCCACTAAACCCAGGGAGAAGCACCCCCTATTGATAAACTGGGGTTGAGCAAATATGGGGTCAACATTAGATGGCTCACGGAGTTTAGCGAGTACTGCGTGTTTAGCACATGTGGGCCGGCAAGTTCAGTAGCACTAGGATGCAATGGGCGTGAGTCAGTTGGATGCGGCTGGTTTAGGAGATTCAAGGGCTTCACCGAGAATTGGAGGAGAAGTTCAGGATGCAGGCTGGCCAGGTTCGAGTTTTCTGCTGTTTTGAGATGAACCTAGCTGTTGTTTTTGCAGTGCGGGTGTTGTGCAGTGGTCATAGATCGGATTGCGTGTCCATAGCAGGTATTGCATAGTGTTGCAGTGTAGAGGGTTGCTCAGATATCGTAATAAGCGAAAGGCATGTGGGTGTGCGCGTGATATGCTGCCATAGTGACATGTTTGCCTTCAGGGGGCACTCGAAGTAATCCTGACTGCAAGGGCATGTTCGCGCATGGAGGTCTAGGCTAGGGCTCGGCATGGGAGCCGCCGAAGTCTTCAGCCAGCGTGGCTTGTTGGTCACAGAAAATCAAGGGCTCAGGCGCGTGAAGCCTGTTTTAGGTGGGCTGAGTTGCATTGGGGCTGAGTCTGGATTTGGGGCTGGGCGAAAACCAACAGGAGCTAGGGGCAAGGGGGTTGTGTCAGGGCATTATAGCATATCCCATGAGCCAAGGCGTTTGGGAAGGTGGGAAGGCTGCTATGAATTGAGCAGGAATGAATATTAGGAGGCCCTTCAAATATGACTCGGCAGAAGGCATGGGAAGGGATTATTCAGGCTTTCACTGTCAGGTTCGCCAAGTCAAATAACGCCGGTCAGCAGATGGGGGGTCCTTTACGTGACAATTGGTGACAGTGACCCTTCTCATGAACAAATCTTTGGCGCAAGGCGCATGTTATTTGTGCTTTGCGCATCGCGCAGCGCGTGACTCAGACGGTGCCGACACTGCAAACACATGAGAATGAGATGCTCACATCTTCAAGCCTTTGCAGGGACGCTTTTGGTATACGTGCTTGCCCCGGAGGAGAAGGACACGGAAGACAAAGTCCAAGAGCTGGAGCAGGCGCATCAAACCCGAGAAAACTGCGTGGCCTGACTGCGCTCCGTTGTAGGCACGTACGCAAATCACACGCCGCCGCGATGGGATCGGGATCCGGGCAGGAAAGGGCCAAGACATCTTCGACTTCCGACGAGATCTCCAGGCTGTCGGCCCTTTTGGAGGCCGGTGTTTCACCAAAGGGGTACGTCAGGTACGCCAGAGGCTGCGCAAGGTTGCAAACTGTTGCAGGTGGATTCCGCTCATCATGTTTTTGAAACACAAATATTGTGTTGTTCGATCCATTTTCTCGGCTAGAAATTTGAAGTGTTCAGCGCTATGTCTGTTGCACTGGCAGTCGGAACCAGATTTTGCGGCCTTGGCGCATGTTTGTGCATTTGTGTCAGGAGACTCAAGGGCTTCACCGAGACTTGGAGGAGAAGCTGTCGTTTCAGGCTGGCAGCTGCTGGATACAGTTGGATGGGTTTAACTTTCGACGAATCACGGGTTATGGGCCTCTGCATCTCGCCGGGGACTTGCTTGAGAGTCTGCTACATCAGGTTTTGTGTCATGGAGGGCCGGATGGTGGGTTATGCGTTTGGTATTTGAGTGCTGGGGCTGTGAGTTATCACAAAGCAGCCATCAAATCTATGCCTTTGTGCCATGAAATACGCCCAGGCGAAGCAGTCAGATGACAAGGTTCAAGAGCTGGAGCTGGCATCAAGCCCAGAAGGTTTCATGGGACCCTGACTCTCTTGCAAGACACCAGGGACCAGGCAAAAAGAACAAGCAGAGCAGCCACTCTGGTGCCAAGTCTTGGGCTAGCTCGAGGGCATGTTGGAAAGAAACCAAAAGGCAACCAGGGGTTCAAAGATGAACATATGGGCCACGGACAAAATGACTTGTTTCTCTAAGAGGACATGGGAAATCTGGGCCGGCCCCAAGTCTTTGCACACAGAGAGATGGGCAGCTTTGCCTAAGGAGGTGTCCAGACTGTTTGCTCGCCTGGAGGCCGGGATGTTTGTTCAGCACTTGAGGCCAACTGCTTTGCAAGAGAAGGGGCTCACCTTGGTCATGGACACGGGGGCTATGGGGAGGGGGGGCTATCCCTTATTAACCCCTGCATAAGGCTTGTTAAGGGCGTATGATTGGTTTATCCAGGCATAGCCCCCCATAGCCCCCCCTAAAGGTCCATGATCGCGGAAGGGAACAACATCTACTAGTGTCTGGAGAGGCGCATGTAGGCCTAGGCTCAGTGAGTATTCTGTTCCGCATGTTGCGTTTGCGCCAGGAGACCCAAGAGCTTCACCGAGACTTGGAGGAGAAGCTGAAGATGCAGGCTTGGGGCCGGGTGGATGGATGCCGGATGCCCACCTGGCAGTTGAGTTTCTTTAGAGTCGCCTTTGCAGTTCCTTGGCCGTGCGTTGTGATCGAGTTCAGCTTCCTTCATTGACAGCTGGAGCTTGCGGGGATCGATTATTTTACTTTGGGCTGGGCATTCTGCCAAGCAGTGTGCTGGCTCGCATGGGTCATCTTGCGGTGATGCCGGGTGTTTGTGTCACGTCTGCGTGTGTGGTGTTTGGTTTACGTTGCGCCAGCGTACTTGAAGCACCCAGGAGAAGCACTCGGAAGAGAAAGTCCAAGAGCTGGAGCAGGCATCAAGCTCGGCAGCACTGTGTGCCGGTGCGACTCTGTCCATTCATAGAGTCATAGACTTTGACGTGTAAACATAGCGCGGCATGACATTCGGGTTGCGGCCGCTACGATCGCATCGGGATCCATGATAATCAGCCGGGCAGAAACAGCGCTCGGTTGCAGGAAAGAGCCAAGACGTCTTCCACGACTGAGGAGGTTTCGAGACTGTCCGCTCTTCTGGAGGCCGGGATGTTTACTTTGCCCGGGCGGGGCTTGGTCCTTTCTGGCGGTTTGCGCTAGACTCCAGGCGGCTGAGAGAGTTAGAAAGGAGCGTAGAGAGGCTTGAAAGTCCATTGGGTCAGGAAGTTCAGTTCTATGCGCCAAGTATGAGTCAGAAGTCAATGTGAGTCAGACAGAGTTGGACCACAAAAGCACTCTTTGGTGCTTTGTGATCTCGTGATAGGAGACTCAAAGGCTTCACCAAGACTTGGAGGAGAAGCTGAGGATGCAGGCTGGCCGAGTTGTTTCAGCACCGCAAGTCCGCTGTTTCGAGATGAGCATAGCTGCTGTTCTCAGCTGCAGGTGTCACGCAGTGGAAATTAGCAGATGGTGCCATAGCAGGTATTGCACAGTGTTGCATGGAGCGTGGCACGGATATCACATTTCGACATGCAAACACGTCCTTTGCCATGAGATTCGGGCGCGAAACAGAGGAAATGGCAATGCCATCCAAAGTGTTTTTGTTAATGGTTGCTTGGTTGCTTGCTTGGTTGCTTGGTTTGTTAGTTGGCTAGGTCCCCCAGTAGCGCCCTGTTACCCTTTTTGGGGGGGAGGTTCCCCCTGAAACAGATTGCAGAAAAACAAGTTGGTAACCAAGAATTCTAAGCTCTCAAATCTGGAGGACCTAGGTTACAATGAGCAACCAAAACGGGTTGTGCGGCCTGATGATGTTGCTTCGCGTGGAGTCCCCTGAGCACAACAGCCCACAAGCAGCTCCGGCGGTTCTCGAGCCGTTTCCTCGGAAGGGCGGGGTTTGTTGAAACACCGCCCTGCCAATAGCCGGAAGGGCATTTTTGCATTTGCTGAAAAGAATATGGTTTGTTTTAACCTGTTGGTTTTGAAGGGAATCTAGCACTGCTGGAAATGTATTTTTCTTTTTTTTCAGGGGGCTTAAGCAAATGGAAGTACCATGCGGGCAATCACATCTTTAAGGTGTTTGTAGACACTTGAGAATCAGTTGCCATGTACACGTGTTGCCCAGGAGAAACACTCAGAAGAGAAAGTCCAAGAGCTGGAGCAGGTGAGATTGGCAAGTTCGGAGTGTGCCATTGTAATAGGAAGCAGATGATCCGGATGATGTGGGAATGTTGAAAAGCTTTGGAAAGCAGAATGCCCATTGGCAGGAGAGAGCCAAGACATCCTCCACGTCTGAGCAGGTTTCCAGGCTGTCGGGTCTTCTGGAGGCCGGGGTGTTGCCCACGCAGGGGTGGCTTTTGATGTGTTTTTGGCCTGCCAGCTGATCGGCCATTGCCGGGTTCATTTCTGAAGGGAGCAATCTGTTGCCCAAAGTTTGTCGGGGCAGCGCCAAGTTCCAACGGAATCTTTCGGCCTTGGTGGTCTTTGTTTCTTTGTTCCGCCTGTTTGTGTGTTTGGCCAGGAGACTCAAGGGCTTCACCGAGGCTTGGAGGAGAAGCTGAGGATGCAGGCTGGCAGGGTCGACAGCGTTTGCGGGATACACTTGGTATTGTTTCGGGGCTTGCTTGCTTGAGAGTCTACAGCAGGCTTCGCGTCATGGTATATGCATCATTGTCTGTTGGTGGGGCTTGTTTGTTTGAGAGTCACCCAGCAAGCGACGCGTTGGCCTGCATGTCGCATCTTGTAGTGATGGCTGTGTTTGTACAATCTGGTGTCATGTTATGCATGCCAGTGCCATGGAATCAGTGACCCAGGAAAAGCACTCAGAAGAGAAAGGCCAAGAGCTGGAGCAGGCGCGGCTATGCTGCATAGCAGTGCGACTGTTCATGTTCATAGCGTAAGGATGTTGAAAAGCTTTGGAGAAGAATGCCCCTTGGCAGGAGAGAGCCAAGACATCCTCTACGTTTGAGGAGGTTTCCAGGCTGTCGGGTCTTCTGGAGGCCGGGGTGTTGCCTACGCAGGGGTGGCTTTTGATGTGTTTTTGGCCTGCCAGCTATTAGGCTATTTGCAGGGCTCGTTGATTTCCGAAAAGAGCAATCTGTTGCCGACAGTTTGTCGGGGCAGCGCAAGTTCCAACGGAATCTTTCGGCCTTGGTGGTCTTTGTTTCTTTGTTCCGCCTGTTTGTGTGTTTGGCCAGGAGACTCAAGGGCTTCACCGAGGCTTGGAGGAGAAGCTGAGGATGCAGGCTGGCAGGGTTGTCGACGGCGTTGGCCGGATACACTTGGTATCGTTGGTGACGTTTGAGCTTGTTCTGGCGTCATGGGTGATTGGGCGTGGGCGCGCGTCGCGATCGGCGCATGCTTGCTTGAGAGTCTACAGCTTTCTTTGCGTGATAGGGGAGAAAGCAAGTGTGGAGGACAAAACGGCACAAATAGTCAATTTGTGTATCGAACCAGGGGGGAAGGCATTTGTTGCTGCAATGGAGGCTCCAGGCGTGATGCGGGATGAGCGGTTTCCTTGTTTGGTGTGATTGCTTTGAGTTGGGTCAGATCCAGCCAGGGTGAGTGTGTGTGTAGCTGTGTGTGTGAATTCTGTATACAGGGTTGCTCCGGACCTCAAGACAGGACCAACCAGCAATGGTAGACAATCAGTATTGGATCCTTTCGTTTTCCCTTTGTCTCCAATAATGTGACCCATCCAGGAGAAGCACTCGGAAGAGAAACTCCAAGAGCTCGAGCAGGCATCAAGCAAGCATCAAGCCCGATGCGTGCGAGCGACCGTTGGTCATACAGTCGATTGGTTTGTAGGTGGTTTACCCCAGTATTCTTGGGGTTCTTCCATCGCCACTGGTGCACGTGTTCGTCCATCAGGACCTTAAGGGAGCCCTGGTGGCTTGCGATGCATGGCCCGTCTTGGGAGTCCACGAGCGTTTGGACCAGCGAGCGCCCTTCAGGAAAGAGCCAAGGCATCTTCCACGTCTGTGGAGGTTTCCAGGCTGTCTGCTCGTCTGGAGGCCGGGTGTTTCAAGGCTAGGGCGGGGTGCTCGAGCCGCAAGGCTCGCAACGTTGCCCGAAGCGTTGAGCAGGCAATAAGGGAATGACCCCTGTAAACCATCCAACTGGTGGTTTCCTTTACGGGGACCAAAGCCTGGGTTCATTTCCTCATTCCCTACTGAGCAAAAGCAAGTTTTGTTCCGGGGTGTTTGTGTTTGGCCAGGAGACTCAAGGGCTTCACCGCGACTTGGAGGAGAAGTTGAGGATGCAGGCTTTCGGGAAGAGCGCGTCATGGTATATGCATGATTGTCTTTTGGTTGGGCTTCTTTGTTTGAGAGTCTGCCAGCAAGCGACACATTGGTCTGCATGTGGCATCTTGCAGTGATGGCTATCGCTGGATGCCCGGCAATCGCTCGAGGGCGTCCAGATGGGCAGGGATTCCAGATCCTCACTCCCTCAGAGATGGGATCGGGGAGGGTGACCCCTGGTTGAACTTCCACCTTCTTCCACTTTCCGGTATGTTTACAGAAGGTCCTGGACACTGTTCGTTTGACGTTCTCCATTGTGAGCTCAGTGGCCCCAGACAGCCAATTGCAGTAAGGTAGACGGATTCTGCGCGGAAGCAAGCGCTTCAGCCGGCAAGCGTTGATTTTGGAAACCAGGCATTTGAGCCCTCCAGCAGAACTGCTTCCAGCGATATTCAAGCTACAATTCGTGTAGTGCGAACCTGAGAGAGGCTTGCAACTACTGTTTATTCCCTAAGCACAATGCGACAGCAGCAATGAGCATTCCAACAAAATATGTAAGGCTTCGACAAGGGGTCCGCTATCCTTAGACGGGAAGCTGTTAGTAAGTACATGGAGGCCCCAGAAGGGACCTGTTTAAGTCCTAGCTTTGTCAGGAGAAGCACTCGGAAGAGAAAGTCCAAGAGCTGGAGCAGGAAGCATTCAATTCGATTCGGCCTGGAATTGCTGCGCAGAAACCATGAGAGTTGGAAGCGCTGAACGGATTTGTGGACGTGGTCTGTTGGGAAGCAGTGGGGTTTGCATTTCTTGCGGCAGGAAAGAGCCAAGACATCCTCGACTTCCGAAGAGGTTTCCCGGCTGACTGCTTTTCTGGAGGCCAGGGAGTTTGTCAATGTGCTGCATGTGGGTCCCACAGACTCAGTGCTTTGCTCATAGGTTTGCTGGGCTGGGGCTTGAGGGCGCTTGGTCGCTGCGCCCCAAACATGGGACGCGGGCGTGTGTTGATCAGTTTGCGGGAATGAGACGGGATTTGTGCCCACTGCCATGCAAGGCGACCTCCCCCTTAGGCCAAATAGGCCATGAATCATAGTGCCTGAGCCCCGCGACCCATGATCATGCTACTGCCTGCAGGAGAGCCGAGCGCTTCATCGGGACTTGGAGGAGAAGCTGAGGAGTCAGGCCGGCAGTGAGCTCGTGCAACTAGGGCTGCGTGCTTGGTATGTATTTGTTTGACGGTGTGCTGGGATGTGCGCGTTTCCCGTATTACCTCTCATTGAAGTGTGCTTTTGCATTCCATTGCCATTCCGAGCGCCTTGGTGCTTTAAGTTGCAGAATCGCCACCCTGTGAACATGTGTGGGTGTGTGTGGGTGTGTTCTTATAGGCGGCCGGCTTGAGAGCGTATTCATGTTGCTTTGCTCAAAGGAGAAGCACTCGGAAGAGAAAGTCCAAGAGCTGGAGCAGGCAGTGGAATTGCATGCGCAGAAACCATGAGAGTTGGAAGCGCTCAACGGATTTGTGGACGTGGTCTGTTGGGAAGCAGTGGGGTTTGCATTTCTTGCGGCAGGAAAGAGCCAAGACATCCTCGACTTCCGAAGAGGTTTCCCGGCTGACTGCTTTTCTGGAGGCCAGGGAGTTTGTCAATGTG